TAATATTGATCTATGGAATCATTTGTATATTACAGGAACTTAAATACAACCAATCTCCATTAATAGATAAATCTTGGTTTGTTTCCAAGCTTAATGCTACAAACGAGTTACTGGCATATCGTTGCCCCAGTCACTCTGGGCAGCTCCCAACATAACACAGAGACTTAATAAAACGCTAAGCATTAAAAACTGCCCTATACAGGGCTGTTGTTTGTTTGTTGTTATGATAATGATGGGGAAGAGGGGGGAAGCACCACAAAGCCAAGCTCTCTTTGGTTCACTTTGCATGGGTTTCTTTTTTAAGCAGATGCTGGAAAGAAGCCTTGGGAGAGAAGCAACTCTGTGGAAAAACCTGTCACTGCGCTACTCTCTAGGTGAGCTGCAGGGTCTCCCTTTGTGGGTCCACCAGCGTGAATTGGAATGTGCGCATGCTGCAGCTGCATGCGCTCATGTCATATCCTTTCTCACCGTAGAAATTCATCAGTGGGGAGGAGTCCTGAACCAAAGAGCCCCATTCAGTTCCAACCAACCTTTAGGTATTGAAAAACTGCTCTAGCTCCTCTCTCTCCTCTTTGCGGCTTATCCGTTGCGAATTCACGCAAATCCTTTCGTTCGTCAGCTAACTTCCTGCCGGCCTTCATGCAACTTGCCACTATGTCCGCTTCCCTGCCGTTGAGCAAACGTTGGTCTCAACGACTTTTGCGTAGAGACGAAGCTCTCCCCCAAAATACTATGGTGCTAGTTTGCACAATTCTGCAAAGCGTGCTAAGCTATACGTTATGTAGCCCTCTGACGATGCAGTACATTTTTTGAGAGCCAAACGACGCATTATATTGAATGCATAGTTTGGCACTGTGTGATGTTACAAGAAGAAAAAGAAGAGAAGAAGAAGAAGAGGAGGAAGAAGAAAGCAAAACCTTAAATAGCAGCCCAGGGGTAGTGGTGGTCTCATCAGAATCAGATTTGTGGAATGGTTTGTTTTAACTCTGTCCTCCTGTGTCTTCTTGCTGATGAAAATTCTGCCCCAAGGCTGCAATTTGTCACAGGAGTGTGTGGAGCTGTCCCCGCATGTTAGCCTTAAAGGGAACTATAACACCACAAGCGGCGACTTCAATTCCTTGCCAAAGAGCAGCTTCCAGGAGCAATTTTTGTTGGGATCATTTTATTTGTTTGTTTATTCTACCATATGTTTTTCAAAGAGGTTTTCGTGGGGTGGGGGGGAATAGGAAACATATACCGTATTTTCCACTCTATAAGACGCACCAGACCATAAGATGCACCTAGTTTTTGGAAGAGGAAAACAAGAAAAAAAATATTCTGAATCCCTGGTTGCTGTGGATGTCCTGGCTTATGGGATAGCCGTGCGCAGCCTCTCCCGGGCAAGGGGAGCCTTCATCCCTTTAAAGAGCACGCCTGCATTCGCTCCATAAGACGCACACACATTTCCCCTTACTTTTTAGGAGGGGAAAAGTGCTTTTTTTAGAGCAAAAAATATGGTAATATACAAAATTTAAAATATAGAGTAATAGATTGTTGGCGCAAAATTCACGGTGCAAAGCCCTCCTGAAATAAAGCTGTGTTAAGCTGGCTAGCATGGTGCTGCAAGAAGGAAAGGGTTTGGATGTAACACTAAGCCTGCTAGCCTGTGGTTTGTTTCCAGCGCCAGGAACAAAGGAGCAAAGTGGGGACTGCTTCAGTCTTCAGGCAGCTCATGCACAAGCTAATTTTCCTAAGCATGGCTTAGGGTGACTGTTACACCCAAGCATGGCCAGTGTGTGGTTTTATGAGTGTGTGGCTTCATCTTTGGGTGAAGGGCGCTATCCAAATTTCAATAATAATAATAATAATATCATCACATCCTGCAAAAACTGGCCACATAGTTTGGCCTTCCTTTTTGCACCTGGCAACTCGTAAAACCATTCTTCGTGCACTGCACAGTGTTGGCCACATGAGGTCCTCCTGCCTCAAGCTCTGCAACAAGTAGTGCCCAAATGCTTAAGAAGTGGCCGTTGTGTGTAGATGACGGCGCTCTTTCCTGTTGGCACGTCAAGCCACGTATGACTGAAAAGCACTTTTATGGGAGGTGGAGGGAAACAAGGGCAGGTATGCCTGGGAGAGGAGAAAGTATTAAAACCGCTTTCCAGGTTGTGTTTTCAAACGTGGCATGGTCAATCATTAACAGCAGTGAAAGGGCTCTGCTGTAAAGTAGTCATAGAAACTATCTGGATTAGCATTACAGATTTTTTAAAAAATAATAATAAAATCCTCACGTACCCTGATGCATTTTGGCTCACTCCTCCCCCTTTTCCAGTGCGTTCTCCTCTTGGGAACGGACGTCTTTTGGGTGACGCACGGTGGATGCTTCTTAGCGCTGCTTGCTTAGCAAGATCATGCTGGCTGCTGAGTGCTTCCCGGTGATGCAAGAGGGAGCGGTGGAGGGTCAAAGCAATTAACCCCTCATGAGCTCCTTCCACCTGCTTTTATGCACCTCTTTGTGCAAGGAAGAATGGCCAACATCATGGCCAGTGGCTTTAGAAAACGTTGAGGAATGTCCCTCTTTGTTTTATTTTGTTCCTCTCTTTTTCAAGGATGAAACCTGCAAGCAGCAGCAATGACGTGGCCATGGACACCTTAGATTTTGATCGCATGAAACAAGTGAGTTGGGAGTTTTGCACACAGAAATAATAATAATAATAATAATAATAATAATAATAATAATAATAATTTATTATTTATACCCCGCCCATCTGGCTGAGTTTCCCCAGCCACTCTGGGCGGCTTCCAATAGAGTGTTAAAAACAATACAGCATTAAATATTAAAAAACTTCCCTAAACAGGGCTGCCTTCAGATGTCTTTTAAAGATAAGATAGCTACTTATTTCCTTCACATCTGAAGGGAGGGCATTCCACAGGGAGGGCGCCACTACCGAGAAGGCCCTCTGTCTGCTTCCCTGTAACCTCACTTCTCGCAATGAGGGAACCGCCAGAAGGCCCTCGGCGCTGGATCTGGTTGCAGATAAGAGCAGTTTTTCATTTATTCTTTGGGTTACAGCTTCTTGCTGTAAATAAGAACATAGGAAGTAGCCTTGTTATACCAGGTCAGGCCTATTGCCCAGTACAGTGGTACCTCGGTTTAAGAACAGCCCTGTTTACGAACAATCGGTTTACGAAATCCGCAAAACCGGAAGTAGTGTCCCGGTTTGCGAACTTTACCTTGGTCTAAGAACGGAAGCCGAACAGTGGAAGGGCACTGGTGGCAGGAGGCCTCATTAGGCAAAGGGCGCCTCGGTTTAAGAACGGTTTCAGTTTAAGAATGGACTTCCGGGACGGATTAAGTTCGTAAACTGAGGTACCACTGTATTGGCGACTCTTATCGGCAACAGTTCTGTGTAATCCTGGGCAGACATAGAACCTGCAGCCTTACTCCAAAGTTTATGATAGGTGCTATGCCAACACTTTCACCATAGTAAACTGGAAAACAAGTACACGTCCACACATGGCTGCTTCAAAGTCAGTGACTGATAAAAACAAGTCTGCATCTCATGCAAGCAATCTCATGCAACATAGAAGAAGGAGGAGTTTAGATTTGATATCCCCCTTTCACTCCCCTTCAGGAGTCTCAAAGCAGCTAACATTCTCCTTTCCCTTCCTCCCCCACAACAAACACTCTGTGAGGTGAGTGGGGCTGAGAGACTTCAGAGAAGTGTGACTGGCCCAAGGTCACCCAGCAGCTGCATGTGGAGGAGCGGAGACGCGAACCCGGTTCCCCAGATTACGAGTCTACCACTCTTAACCGCTACACCACACTGGCTGTCATAGGGACCAGTTAAGTGCTTTGTTAGGAGAAGTTCCATTTATACCAATGCAAAGGACCTTTCTTTCTTTCTTTCTTTCTTTCTTTCTTTCTTTCTTTCAGAGGACATTTTAATTTTTTAACTTTTTCTTGTCTTTCAAGGAAATATTGGAGGAAGTTGTAAAAGAATTACACAAAGTAAAAGAAGAGATAATCGATGGTAAGAAGCGAGGAGGGGTGGTTGGGCATGAAATGCATTTCTCACATTGGCCGAGGGTGGAATTGCAGAGTTGGAAGGTACCTCAAAGGTCACCTAACCCACTGCAGGAAGCCCATTGCTACAGCCTCCCTAATAGGTGCCCATCCATCCTCTGCTTACAAACTTGCCTATCACTTTCTGAGAGTCCACCTCCACCTGAGGTTGTCTGTTTCACCGTTCAACTGCTTGACCAGTAATCCAGGTGCGTGAGCATTATAGAACTGTAGAATTGGAAGGGGACCCTGAGGATCATCTAGTCCAGGGGTCGGCAACCTAAGGCCCATGGGCCCCCGCCGCCCGCTTGTTCAGCTCCCGTGCGCCATGCTGAACCAGCGCGGAGCAGGGACCGCCTTCCGTGACGCTGGGCAACTTCCCATTGGCTGCAGGAAGCTCCTGCAACCAATGGGATGCTGCGCACGCCACCTCCTCGCCGGAAGGAGCGTTGGCGCATGTGTGTGTTAGGATATTTCCGTTCCACCTTAAAAGGGAGCAGGCTTTGTGAGTCAGAGTCTGCGTATTTCCTGTTTCCACAGGATGTTTCTGTTGTGTCTTTTGTTTTCTCTCTCTGTGTCTGGAGACACTGATGCAGGCAGTCATGTTTTTCTTGTTCTGATCAACACTGAATAAAACTTGTAAATAATGCTCTCCTGCGTGCAACTTCTGCTGTGAATTATCTGCTGATAGAGTGTGCATGAGCTCTGGAATGTGGCAAGCTATTTCTAGAAACTCGTGTCGCTAATTGCTGATACTGTATCTACGGGAGATCGATGGATCGTCCGGCAGCTGGCTTGGGGGCCATGATGGACTTTGTCTCCCTGGCAGTATCCCAACAGTGTGTGCGCGCTCTGGCGCACCATGGCGTCTGCGGGACCGTGAACTGGCCCAAGCTGCAAAAACTTTGCCGACCCCTGATCCAGTCCAAGCCCTTGCAATGTAAGAATATGCAGCTGTCCCATACAGGGATTAAACCTGCCACCTTGGCGTTATCGGCACCATGCCCTAACCAACTAAGCTATCAAACTCTCTAGTGTGCTGAGATGCCTTTGCTTAAATATGGAGTGTATGTATAAGACACATTGATAATTGCTTTTATTGCATGATGCTCAAGCCGGCCCGTTCACCTTCCCACATCCAGTCCTGGGAACTGGGAGTGTGGGTGAAAACACTGCGAATTACCTCTTAGGACAGGAATAGCCAGCATGGTGCTCTCTGGTTGCTGTGGATGACAACTCCAACATCCCTGACCGTCGGCTATATTGGCTGAGGATGATGGGATTTGTGGTCCATATCCGAAGGGCGCCACGTTGACTACCCCTGTATCTGCAATTCCTAGCCCAGTACCCACAAAGAAATATCATTCCCATGGAGAAGGAAATACAATTAAGTCTCCCCAGAGAGACACCTGGAATAGTCTTTTTTCTGCCACTTGGTCCGGAACGTTTGTGAATCCTGTGCCACAGAGAAAAGTCAGCAGAGCCTCATGTCTTGATAAAAATCCAGTTTTGCGCCCGTGTTTATATTTGCTCTCGCTGCCACATCAGCCCTGCCTTACACACACAACTGAACAGCCTTGCCTTGGCATCCTTCCAGGGCAACCCTTGCCGCTCAATATATTGCTTAAGCCAGGGGTGGCTTACCTGCGACTCTCCCATCATCCCATCTGCTGAGTCTATGATCCCATTGAGTCTATGATGCTGTTGGACTCCATCTCCCATCAGCCCCTGCCAGCCAGCCAGGACAGTGGTCAGAGGTGCTGGGAGTTCGTAGAGAATTGTAGAGTTCGAAAGGATATACCCCCAAGGGTCATCTAGTCCAACCCCCCTGCAATGCAGAGCCGTGGTCCGGCAACATCTGGAGGGGCCACAGGTAAGCCAGCCTTGAATTAAGCAGAAAGGGAAGGATGGTGTAGATACTGCCTTCATACATTTAAAGCATCACACGCACACACCCAAAACGAATAGCTGGAACTGTAGTTTAAGGGTGCTGGGAATTGTAGCTCTGTTGGGGTTAAGCTACAGCTCCCAAGGTGCTTCAAGTGTATGGTTGTGTGCGCACAGCTAGGATCTGTACCGCCCTTCTCTTGCTGCTGTTGCCACCACCTTTGTAATCTTAACCACTTCCCAAAATATAGTCAGTGGTCTTTAGCTTAGGTGTGAAGCTATGACAGTATAGTGCTTTGACCATAAGCTCTGGCTTATTCCCTTTTTTTATTGTTTCCTCTTTTTTTCAGCCATCAGGCAAGAGTTGAGTAGAATCAGCACGACATAATGGCCATGGAACCATCTAGAAGCCACATAGGATGTGAAAGGCAACTGGATCGTTTCCGAACATCAAAAGACCATGCAAGATGGTGAAAGAGGACACCTGGCTCTGTCTTTTGTTCTTAAATCCTTTTTATTAGCAGACTCAGCAGACTTTGAGGCTTGCTGCTGCCTTGGATTTGCTTCATTTTAAAAAAAAAACAGAGAGAGAGAAGTCTTAAAATCTTAAAAAAAAGAAAATATTAAAATTTAAATTTCTGGATTTTTTAAAATTTCATCTGACAATGCACATCAGAGTTGGTCAGCCTTTTTTGTATTTTGTATTTGCTTATTTAAATGTATGACTTTTTTTTTAGTATATAGTAGGTAAGGAAACACGTGAACCATTCGCTTTTACTAGATGACTTCAGAGTAATTTTACTGGTAGACTGCAATGTAAATGAAGACCTTTTTTTTTTTTTTTGCCAACAAAACCTTATTTGTGGCATCACCTGAAGAGGCCGAACGATGCCCAGCTGTCAGACAGCAAGTCCCTGGTCTCAGAGCTATCACAATATTACAGCGGTACATCATTGCTTCACAGTATCTGTGTTCATATTGGTAATAAACTGTTCATTGTCCATGTGGCATTGCTTGGCTTTTCTTTCATCCCGCTGCAGCACACTTGGACTCCACTGTGCTTCTTAGCAAAATCAGGGGTAACTATACCCTGGAACTAATCTGGCTCCCCCAGAGCATTTTGTTTCTGGTCCCTGGTGGTGCTAGAAAAATGGGGTGTTGTAAGAAGTACAGTTGTTTACACTTTGATGTTGCGATGGCCCAAACTGACCATGCAAGGAACTTCACTAACCCTGCTGCCTCCCATCATCTAAGCAAAGTACCATCAGAATCATCACAAACTGGAAGATCCACATTATAAGTTGCATATATGCCGTGTGGTTTCCGAGACCACCCCCACTTTGTGTAGAAACAGCCCTATGCACCACTAAGGGCCTTGTTGCTGGTGTCACCTCCAGGGGCTTCCCAACCGGCAATGACCCGTGACGGGGCCTTTTCAGTGGTAGTTCCCCATTTGTGGAATGTTTCCCAAACTTGGGTCTCCAACTGTTTGTGGACTACAACTCCCATCATCGCTAGTTAGCAGGCCCGGTGGTCACAGATGATGGGAACTGTAGTCCAAAAAGAGCTGGAGTTTGGGAAACCCTGATCTAGTCCAACCCTCTGCAATGCGGACTCTTTTGCCCAGCATGGGGCTCAAACCCACAACCCTGAGATTAAGAGCCTTATGCTCTACTGAGCTGTCCCCGCTTGATAATTACAATAATCCCCAGGACTGCTGGAGTCTGTGTTATCCAGGGGAACGATCATATGATGCATGTTTGCAGGGTATAATTAAGAATTATTTTCCCCTCATGCAGGCATCTTCAGTCTTTTCCCATATATTTGCATGGTAGTAGCGCTCCCTGTTGCAACCCACCTTGGGTCAGGCTGTGACCCACTAGTGAGTCCTGGTTCTGCCACTGTTGTCCTTGGACATGCTCCCCTAACTCTCCAGTCCTTTCTGGAGGGGCAGGCAGAGAACATGAGGTCTCTGAAGAGAAACATTTTGATCCCGATATTCTAGCATCTTCGGGGGCCGGCGGAAGAACAGGAGACTTCTCAGCTGGAGAACTACTCTTGTGTGTCTGTCCAGAGGTCTCCCTGTTTGTTGTGAGAAGGAAAGTGTCTCACCTCTCCATTGAAACAACCCTGGAATATAGATGTTGAGCTCACAGATCTCACTGTGCCTAACCATGTCTGATGAGCAATGAAGTTCAAAGCATCAGGAAACCAGGGTGAGCCGGGCTGTCAAACAGCCTAGCAGATAATAAAAGAAAAAGGTCTGTTAATTTTTTTAAAACTATACTATACATTTTCAGGCGCTTCCCACTGGCTTCATTGTAATATTTCTTCATATCGAAGTTACAAAAACTCCTTGGGTGTCAGAAATATAACATCAGCTCTTATGTGGTTACTGGGCACGCTCTGTTCAGAGAACAGACTCGTTTATGTTTGTTTGGATGGGGGAAGTATACAGGGTGCAAAGGTCCATTAAGCTTATAAAGGGGGAAAGGGCAGAGTCCGCAGCTATCGAGAGTCTGGTGCCAGCTTGCATATTCTCTTCACCCTTGAATAAGGACCGATGGAGTCATCAAAAATGAAGTCCCAGAGAACTCGAACCCAAGACTGGTGCTGAGGCAGGGTGTCATAATATTCTGCTGCTATCTTCTTTACCTGCAAAGAGCAAAAGAAATTTTTTATCCACTGTTCGTTTATCTGTGAAACATCTATCTTAGAATGCATTTGGACATGACGTTTCTACCGTATTTTTTGCACCATAACACTCACTTTTTTCCTCCTAGAAAGTAAGGGGAAATGTCTGTGCGTGTTATGGAGGGAATGCCTATGGGTGGCATGCCTACGGATTTTCCTCCTCTAAAAACTACGTGCGTGTTATGGTTGGGTGCGTGTTATAGAGCGAAAAATACGGTAATTCTACTTTAAAGCGGCAGTACCTGCTGTGTTATGAAACGCTGGCCTTTGACCAAGAGCGCTGTGTCACCCTAAATTTCATTCACACCAGTGAGTGTGGTGTGTCACAACGGCTGACACTTGTGTATGTGTTGCCACCCTTTATGCACATGAACACTTCTGTTCTCCCATGATTTACCCATTGAAACGGCAGGAAAGAACTGCATGCCAAAAAAACACCCCACCCTTGAATTTTGACACATGCAAACTGAGCACAAAACTCCTGTGTTTTTCTGAGTTAACAGGCTTGCAAGATGGGGTCCTGTCCCCCCGGAAGCAGTTAACATGGAAATGTGTGCTAAATTTCTGCAGTGGCTTTTACATGGCGTGACAGATGATGTAAAAACGCTAAAATTGTCGTGTAAGAAAACGTCCGGAAAACGGAATAGAGTGCTGTTTGAATGCAAGCTAATAGAATTTATGCCAAGAGTAAACCCAATGAACAAATGAAAGCGACCCAGATTACTTTTGAGAGCGAAGAGATTTTTCATGGTTCATACACCCTGGAATTCAAATCCCATTGCAGTCAGTCGAGGGGAGAAGGGAAGAGGGAAGGAAAAAGTCCTGTTGGATCCCTCATCCTTTGGCCTCGAGGAGCTAGCAGGGCTCTGAATGTGGCAGAGCAAGAATCTCCCTCGCCCCATGGCAGCATTGAAACCTAACCTGAGCATTCATCTGACAGAACCAGGGCAGTCAGATAATTTAGATGACTAATTCTGTTTGCTAGACTAGGAATAGCCAACTGGCAGCTTGAAGGCCCGTTGGCTGGCAGAAGCCCTACCAGTTTTAAGGTGTGCTAAGAAAAAATAAAATGCTTTTTTAAAAAAGCTCCATTGTTTCTGTCTTTCCCAGTTCCAGCACAGATTTTTGACCTTCACTTGACAGCTTCCAAGTTAAAATGTAAGCCAAAGTTGCAGGAATCTGTGACTGTCCAGGTAGGACATAATGCAGCTTGCTGGATTTGTACTGTGTTTCCTTGCCGATATGGGACCTGGGTGGCGCTGTGGGTTAAACCACTGAGCCTAGGACTTGCTGATCAGAAGGTCGGCAGTTTGAATCCCTGTGACGAGGTGAGCTCCTGTTGCTTGGACCCTGCTTCTGCCAACCTAGCAGTTCGAAAGCAAGTCAAAGTGCAAGTAGATAAATAGGTACCGCTCCGGCGGGAAGGTAAACAGCGTTTCCGTGCGCTGCTCTGGTTCGCCAGAAGCGGCTTAGTCATGCTGGCCACATGACCCGGAAGCTGTATGCCGGCTCCCTCAGCCAATAAAGCGAGATGAGCACTGCAACCCCAGAGTCGGTCAGGACTGGACCTGATGGTCAGGGGTCCCTTTACCTTCTTGCCGATCCAGACCTAGGACAGCCTGCCCCAGACTACAACTTCCACCAGTCCCATCTGCCATGGGCCTTGTCTTCCTCCTTGTCCCATGCTTCATAGCAATGGAGCAAACATCTGCAGGAAGCCCAGTTGTTGTTCACTCCAGTTCAGTGCTAAGCCATGGGTTTTCCTGGAGGAAAGCAGCAGGGCAAACTGAAGTGTGCCTGAGCCCATGGCGGGTGAGTCAGAGAGGATGGGAGTTCTAGGCCAAAACATCTGGTGGGCGCCAGGTTGAGAAAGGCTGCCCCACGTCTAACCGCAGTTGGGAGCAGTTCCACACCACCCGCCAGCCCCATGGCTAATTCTGTGAGCAAGCAGACAGAAAGTGGGGAGAGCAGATCAGAAAGTCCCAGGTTCGAACCCCTGCTTCTCCAGGTAGGTGGTGGGAGAGTTCCCTGCCTGGAAACCCAGATAGCTGCTGCCAGTCAGTGTAGACAGCACTGAGGAGACTAAGGCAAGCTCCCTGTTGCAGGCAGGTCCATGGGTCAGTCTAGCAATGGCTGCTGCCATCGGATTGGAACAACCCTTAGCAGAAGAAGCATGCCTCTGAATAGAAGATGCAGTGGATGGTCACATACGCTCCTAGATGCTTTCTGGATAAGCGTCCACATAATTAGATGCAATCCTAGAAGTTTGGGGAACCTATGGCAGTCTCCAGCTCCCGTCAGCCCCAGCCGGTGTGACCAATGGCCAAGGACGAGGGGCGGTCCACAGATGCCCCATTCTGTACTACTACACAAGTGTCAGTGTGATTCAGGATCCGTTCCGGTTTTGGATGTTTGGTTAGGAGTGAAATTAGGAGGAATGAATAGGGCAGAAACAGGGGGGGGGGTGTTTTATAGCAGGAAAGGTGTAGAGAACCCAAACTGGCTAGTGGGCTGGATCTTCCTTCCTGCCACGTCCCTCACCCTGTGGGCCAACTTTGAAAGCTGGATAAGTCCCATCTACCTGCTCATCACCTGACACCGGGCGATAACTTCAAAGGAGAGAGCTCTGGGGCTGGCTTTCTGCATCCATCAGAGGACTGGCACAGAGAGCCTTCCCTTCTGAAGTCCATTGGTAAGACATTTGAAAACTATGGAGAGTCACAGAGGCAAAACCATGTACAACAATAACAAGAAGCTTCCTTTCCTTTTGTCACCTTAACAGTCAATGATATACATTTGCCACCCAATTACTGCATTTCATAAAATCACAGAATTGTAGAGTTGGAAGGGACCACGAGGGTCGACTAGTCCAGGCCCTGCAAAGCAGGAATCCTTTGCCCAACGTTGGGGTCAAAACCACAACTCTGAGATTAAGAGTGTCATGCTCTATCAACGGAGCTATCTCAGTGCCCCATCAGGAACAAGCAGGAAGCAGACCATGCCAAGGAAACAGTGATACGGCTATTACTGGCTTCGAACGGGTTATAAAGCTTGTTCTGGAACTATGCAATTAAGAAAAATCACTGGGCTGGCAGAATTTGACTTGTCTATCTACATTTGTGTGCAGCGACTGTCATTGCACAAGCCAGTTGATTTGTCACTGCAGAAAGGCACTCATTTAATAAGTTACTTATTTGTCCCCAGGGCAATAAACCTGCCTGAAAGTATGACAAGCCCTATTGTATTGCTTGGGGGGTGGGGGGAGACGATCGCACCGCATTCCACAAAGTAGCTGATAAGACTGGGCTCTGTTGGGAACATGCGTGCAGGAAAAGGGAACAGGCCAGCTTCTGAGCTAAAGAATTAAACGCACGACTGCAGTTTATATACCCGGATTTGTGTCTTTTTAAACATACATCAGGGGTGGGTGCGTGTCAGCTGGGACCACTGCACATGGGGAAGACAGGTTACTTTTTTTATTTTAAAAAATTATTTCCTCCTGTATCACAGTCCCAATGAAAATCCCCTTTCCCAAAGCAGCTTTTCTTGCAGATATTAGCTTTTGGGTGTAGGGAACCTAATGCAAGCCACAGAACTCCCTGCATGCCACAGAACTGGGTGTGTGTGTGTGTGTATGTCCAACTAAGTTATGCTCAAATTAAAGAATCAAAATCAGTCATGCTCACATATTTGCATGAAGTCTATTGAATGAGTTGAACTAACATTGGATCTGTAGCCCTTTTTTAACAAAAGCCAGCTACCTAAAAAAACCCACCTTGCTGTGCTTATGGGAGAAGCATTGGTCACACTAAAGTCTGTGTTTGTTTTTCCTTTTCCTTTCCCCCTCCTCAACTGCCGTTTAAACAGACGCAGAAACAAAATGGAACACTGCTACACAGACATACAAGTAATATGAGCATGCATTTGACCATTCATCCACCTTGACCCTTAGTCTGTTACAGCAAGTGTTGCTCAACTGTAGCACCCTGCTTGTGGTTAACGCTTAGCTGGAATGAAATATTCAACGCAGCAATAGAGAAATTAAAATAATAATTTATTTGTCAGACAAATAAATGATAGGCACAGTGGTATATAGTTACCAAAGCTCTGCCCCCTCCAGCCCTGATGGCCAGCACTTATATTTCCTCAGCCCAGCCCCCTTGCTCCTCCTTTGGCTGCCTCTGTCCAATCAGCCTGGTTGAAATTCCTATTGGCTGTTTGCTAGAACCAATCATAAAAGATACACCCATTTCCTATTGCCTTTTATGGGAGACAAAGAGCTATATTTCCTTCTATCCATAAATGGCAGACAAGTAGCCATATATCTTACATTTGCCTCAACAAGGCACCTTAATTACCAGATCACCTTTTGCCCCTGTTGCCCCTGCATTCCAAAACAAATGGCTAAAACAAATGGCTCATGGTATTAAATTCTATCTAAACAGAGATCTTAGGTTCACATTCTCACACACCATCAATGAAATAAGAATCTAACATAAGACTCTAACATTTCTTACTTTCTAAATCTTTTGCATAATTACATTAAGCCAACAAATCTCATACATAACATAGATAGCTTTTTAGAAGAAAAGGCCTTTGCAAAGTAAAAAAGGAACTCAGTAAAAACAGCTTCAAAAGAAGCCTCTTCAGTTTACACCCCCTTTCCCAGCCAGCTGCTTTTCCCATTAGCTCTTCCCAAAATTTATTGCCCTTTAACTCTCTCAGTATACCTTAAACCTTAGGAAAATATGGCTAGAGTCTGATGGGAGGCACATGGTATTATTTTCTGTTAAACAATAAATCTTACTATTTACCAACTCTTAATTAGTGTTTTTGCAGCTTGATTGTATTCTGTAATATGTAGGGTCAGTGTAACATTTGCTCCCAACCTGTAATTCCCTTTTACAACTTTGAGAAACTTGTCTCCTGCTACTGCTATAAATCAGGGGGGCCCTTTTTCAGGAGAGCAGGAAGATAAACAACTGCCAAAGTACTTAGCCAGCTGGTTTCTGCCTGGCATGAAACATACAAACATTTGCAAATATATCTTTAAGCTCATTTTAAAATACAGGCCTTGATCAGATGCCTCATAACCACGTTTTCTTTCCCGGCCTGTTCTTTTTATCCACTTTCTCCACAACATGCAAAATCTTATAAACCTCCATCATGTCACCTCTTCTTTGCTTTTTCCCTAAACACTGCAACCTTTCTCCTTAGGGGAGTTGCCCTTTTCTGGACCCTGATGATAAATGACACTTAACTGGTTACACACTGTTATTGTTTTGCTGTGCTTTTATTTCCTGAATGTGTGCTTATATATACTACTAAACTTAAATTAAGTTATAATTAAATAAATGGGATTCAGAATGTTAAGAAAAGTGAATAAGATGACCATAATTGGAAATTGTTTTAGTTTAATAATGATATTGGAAAGCTGTTACTTTTAAATTACAAGGAAATTCAGAAGAGAGGGATTTGAGGAAGTCAACCAAGATGTTTAAAAAGTTGGATTTGTGAAGAATTAAGTTTGTTATTATTGTCTATTTGTTTATTGTTCCCCCCCTTTTTCTTTTCTTTTTTCTTTTTTCTTTCTTCCTTTTTCCTTTTCTGTTTTTTGTGTATCATTTTGCTTTGTGGTTTATGTTATTGCGGTGGAAAATTTAATAAAAATTTATTCGGTATATATACTACTAAACTTAATAAAAAAAGATCTGGGAAAAAGCAGCACAGAGTGTCTTGAGGTTGCATCTATTTGCCAGTACAGTGGTACCTCGGGTTACAGATGCTTCAGGTTACAGACTCCGCTAACCCAGAAATAGTACCTCGGGTTAAGAACTTTGCTTCAGGATGAGAACAGAAATTACGCAGCAGCGGCAGTGGGAGGCCCCATTAGCTAAAGTGGTACCTCAGGTTAAGAACAGTTTCAGGTTAAGAATGGACCTCCAGAACGAATTAAGTACGTAACCAGAGGTACCACTGTACAGTGGTACCTCTGGTTGTGAATGGGATCCGTTCCGGAGGCCCATTCGCAACAAGAAAAGAACACAACCCGCAGCAGCACGTCTGCGCACGCGCGGGTTGTGATTCACCGCTTCTGTGCATTCACATGATGTCATTTTGTGCCTCTGCACATGCGCGGGCGGCGAAACCCAGAAGTAACCCTTTCCAGTACTTCTGGGTCACCGCGGAATGTAACCTGAAAGAACGTAACATGAAGCGGATGTAACATGAGGTATGACTGTAGTAATATAAAGGTAAAGGTACTCCTGACCATTAGGTCCAGTCATGAACAACTCTGGGCATGCATGCTCATCTCGCTCTATAGGCCGAGGGAGCCGGCTTTTGTCTACAGACAGCTTCCGGGTCATGTCACCAGCATGACTAAGCCTCTTCTGGCGAACCGGAGCAGCGCACGGAAATGCCGTTTACCTTCCCGCCGGAGCAGTACCTATTTATCTACTTGCACTTTTTGGCGTGCTTTTGAACTGCTAGGTGGGCAGGAGCAGGGACTGAGCAATGGGAGCTCACCCCGTCACGGGGATTCGAACTGCCGATCGGCAAGTCCTAGGCCTATAATTCTCCTCACTGTCCTCAGATTCCTATGAAAGCATCTTTCCTAAGGCCTAGAAGGTATTATTTTCATCTAGAGTAGTGTTTTCCAAACTTAGTTCTCCAGGTGGTTTTGGACTACAATCGCCCTGTTTCGGGAAGTTTTTGATGTTTGAGGTTTTACTATGTTTTTATATGTGCTGTAAGCCGCCCAGAGTAGCTGCTTTCATCATCACCATCCCACCATCTCTGACCAATCGTTTTGCTAGCTAGGGAAGATGGGAGTTGTAGTCCAAAAACAGCCGGAGACCCAAGTTTGCGAAACGCTGATCTAGAGTATCTTTGGTGCTTGGGGTTAAGCCAGCTACAAAATAGTGTCTGTCTAGCAATCTGCATTCACTTACTTTATGCTGTATATGTAAATACCATTATTCTCACTGCATCCCCCCGAGCAGCGATGACATTAAGGTGTAGGTATGAGCAGGGAGGCTCCCAAACACAACAACGCTGGCTTATCGCATTTCTGAAGTTAATGCATGCTACTGTCTAAATAGATGCCTTCCTACCAGGTCGTTAAGTCCGGAGTCTAAAATTACCTAACTGCACCACCACCTCTAATTTCAGGATTCAAGAGCCACTTTTCTTTCATAAGCTGCATATGTAAATTAGCTTCACAACCTTTGGCTCATCCAGATGTTGCTGAACCACAACTCCCATCATCCCTTGCCACTGGCCATGCTTGCTTGGGGCCGAAGGGTGTTGTATTTCAGCAACACCCAAAGAGCCAAACCTGTTTGCAAGGGTCAAAAACTCTAGAGCTTACCATTGGCAGCTTAGATCCAGGAACGCTGGGGAAATCGTGGTGTTCCATATGATAGCCCACGTTAAAGGTGATCCAGTTGAGGGGTCCGTAGTAGGAATATGTTTCATACCCTTTCAGGAACATATAGTGTTCTGCTATGAAGTGCCCCGAAAAAGGATGCAAGCCCATGCAAAGCAACGTCCCTGATATTAAATAAACAACAGGCTTCAAACCCCACAGGTAGTAGATGATCAAGTCGACAGAGAACTGGGCCAAAGCGTTAAGTATTTCCATCTCGGTAATTGTTTTGGGGTTGATGTAGAGCGGTCTCAAGGCATAGAAAAGGGGTTGGAAGACAAGCCAGATGATCTTCCGAAAGGGAGTGCAGAAGAACCAGCCCTCAAAGTCCGTGGGGATGTCCACATCCAACGAGTCTCCACCAAGGTATCGGTGGTGGTCTATGTGGTACTTCTTGAAGGAGGCCGAGTAGGGGAGTCCAATGGGCAAGTTGGCAAAGACGGCAAACCACCGGTTCCACTTGATTTGCTTGTTGCCAAAGACCACGTTGTGGGAGATGTCGTGGATGGCCAGGGTCATGGAGTGGTTGATGCAGCCCCCGAAAGCATAGGCCCAGAAGAAGATCCACTTCCAGGAAAGGTCCCTCACAAGGTAGCAGGCCAGAAGCTGGGTGAACACCATCCCCATCACTATCCATTTCAAGTAGGGATCTGGCCCCATGAGAGACTTGATGGCTGGGTACTTTGCTGAGGAGGAAAAGAAACATTAGGACAAATGCAGTCAAAACTGCCTGGAATCCAGTCGTGGAATTGTGGTGCCAACTAGACAAATCCCTCTGCCCTTAATATCCATCAGGCTACCTACCTGACATAAACCAGGCCTCCACGAAGGTCTGGCCCACCCATTAGACAAGGTGAGGTGACTGCCTCAGGCGGTAGGATCCACAGAGGCAGCAGATCTGGCCTCCAAGGAATACATTGCCCGCTGATGCCACCACGGTGGCAGCAATGGCTGTGGCATATTTCTTGGAGGCTGGACTTCTTGTCTCCCCGGCAAACACCCCACCACCCTCCATTCTGCCAGTACAGCATCCTCACAGTGAATAGGAGCTGCTGGTCTCCTCCCACCCATAGGGAAGAAATGGTGGGAGCTGCCCTGCCTGGTGTGGTTCAGAACAGGCCTCTTTCTCCCCAAGGACAGCCCGGAAGCTTCTGGTGAATGGTGGCTAAGCAATGTTTTCAAACAGACAAGTGAACCGTATTTTTCGCTCTATAAGACGCACCAGACCACAAGACGCACCTAGTTTTTGGAGGAGGAAAACAAGAAAAAAAAATATTCTGAATCTCAGAAGCCAGAACAGCAAGAGGGATCGCTGCGCAGTGAAAGCAGCAATCCCTCTTGCTGTTCTGGCTTCTGGGATAGCTGCGCAGCCTGCATTCGCTCCATAAGATGCACACACATTTCCCCTTACTTTTTAGGAGGGAAAAAGTGAGTCTTATAGAGCAAAAAATATGGTAGATGTTGACAGGATGGGATGGGAAGGGGAGAATCCAGCAGCTCCCCATCCCTCCTCGGCAGCTCCCTGCATGGAAGGGGGACTGGTAGCAGAAGAATCCTGCAAGAATTAGAGACAGATGTGCAGCGCAGTGGTGGGAATCAGAAAAGTTGTTGCCTGGACTCCCTCTAGTGGCATCCAAGAATAGAGCAGTGGAGGAGAAAATCCCACATAGCCAAGAGTTCTCTGCACATTTCATTCTCAGCATCAAGCTAGTCCTTCTATTTTCTCAATAAGCCTCCCTCTAGCTGGTTTTCCTGTCTCTTTGGCTGCCAGGACTGAATTGACACCATTCCATTCAGCTGCTGCCCCATCAAGTTCAGACCCTCCAAATTCCCCTATTTTCCAGGGACGTCTCTAATTTAGAGAAGCCATCCCAGTTTCTGATCTGACCCCAGAATGTCCCACTTTTCCTTAGGATGTCCCTGTTTTCATTGGAGAAATGTTGGAGGGTATGGAGTTATCTGACCCCTGAGCCATCTGAAGGGAAGTTTTTTTTTAATGTTTAATGTTTTATTATGTTTTTACATGTGTTGGAAGCTACCCAGAATGGCTGGACAACCCAGTAAGATGTGTGGGGTATAAATAGTAAAATAATCATTATGGAATGGGAGGTCCCTATTTTCATCGGAGAAATGTTGGAGGGTATGCAAGTTACAATTAGTGCTCCTTTCCCTGGTCCAGACCTCCTCACAGGGTATATTGGCACCCAGAGTGCAGTCCCAGCATGAAAAAAACAAAAACACACACACACAAAAAAAACATTTGTGGATTCTGAGTTACTGAAGTGAAACCTGAATTGCAGGCTAGCTACACTTGCTGCAAATAAAATAATGGCCTAGTTTGTCATAAGGCAGGTTCTTGTGTCCCATGGAGGTTCTGTACAGCCAGCATGTTTTTATCTGCTATAATCACCTGAGGTCCTTCTCTGTGTGCCCCATCCATGGGAGGACCAGAGGGTGGGAACATGAAAAGGGGCCTTTTCAGTGGTGGTTCCCTGCTTGCAGAACACTCTCCCCAGGAAAACTGCTTGGTGCCATTGTTGCCTGCCTTCAGCTGCCAGGCAAAAACAAACCTATTTAGTCAGGTTTTGGGTTTCTAAGTGAGAGGGTAGTGGGACTTTGTGGTGTTCAATTGCGGTAAATGTAAAGGGACCCCTGACCATTAGGTCCAGTCGTGACCCACTCTGGGGTTGCGGCGCTCATCTCGCTTTATTGGCCGAGGGAGCCGGCGTACAGCTTCTGGGTCATGTGGCCAGCATGTCTAAGCCGCTTCTGGAGAACCAGAGCAGTGCATGGAAACGCCGTTTACCTTCCCGCCGGAGTGGTACCTATTTATCTACTTGCACTTTGACGTGCTTTCAAACTGCTAGGTTGGCAGGAGCAGGAACCAAGCAACGGGAGCTTACCCCGTCACAGGGAATTGAACCGCCAACCTACTGATTGGCAAGTCCTAGGCTCTGTGGTTTAACCCACAGTGCCACCCGCGTACCTTCAGTTGGGGTAGGTAGGACTTATTTACTTTAGATATGCTTCCAGAGGAGTATTTTAGTTTTCACTCACTGTTGTTGTTTTTTATACCTGATTTTAATGTCTTTGTTCGTTCCATTTTCAAGGTGTACGCTTCTTTGAGGGTAAAAATGTGACTAATAATTAACAGCAACAAGATACGGAGTCTTAGCAGTGTGGCCTGCATGAGGGGTGGGGGGTGAGTGGGAGAAATTGAAATCACATGAGAACTGAAAAGCAGATCCCATCATCGCCATGTGAACCTCGTTCACCATTTTGAATGGTGAACGCACGCACTGCTGAACTGAATGTGAGTTCATGCATCGTGCCCCAACCTCATTTTCCCTTTTTTAAAGAACTGGATGAGTCGGTAAATCAGTTCCATCCTTTCTCAGAAATCAAAAGCTGCATTGTTGCCGGGAACAATTTACAAAGCCTCCATTCTGGGTCTAAACAGCACCCAGTGCAAAAAATAGTATTGTCTGTTTCACTAATATTATTCACAAGTTGCCTCAAGGTACTTGTGTAGCACAATCAACAAGCCTACATATATGATACCATACCATACCATACCATACAATACGGTATCTTTCTTGTCATTGTCCCATACAGAACAATGAAATGGAAAAATCTACATAAGACTCTCAAAAACCCCTAAAAACTCCGAAACCCCATTTTAAAATACAATGCACTCCTATAGAGACTCCTTATACTGCGTTTAAAACTAATTAATTATAATAATTAATGCTAATTAATGATATGATGATATTAATTAATATTAATATGCTAATTGATAATATTAAATGTGATGATGATAATAATCCATTGTGACAATATACTTGTTGCATCAAAGACATGCCTCTTGAGGAAAAGGTGATAGGGAAAATTCCTTACAATCGTCATTTTTTTTGTTTTTAAAAAAGAAATGATTATTATTTCATTGCATTCCCTGTGATTTGAGTTGGCTTTACTTATCTCTCTTTACTTTGCTTGCTCACATGAGCCAATTACTATTCAGGTGAGGCTCACAAGCTTTGAAAGTAGTCGGCTGAATCCTGGGACAAAAGCAAAGGGGCAGAGTACCTGCAATAAATGTCTGATTCTTTTCCGTTCTTGCCTTTTGGCTCGTTGTGATTATAAAAGCATCAAAGTGTTAGTGCAGGGTGTGGCCACTGATCCTTCTGTTGAAATTGAGCAACCAGTGTCCGAGAGGCCGTGCCGTTAAACCTAACGAAATTAGTTGCCTCACATCCTCTGACCACTGATGCTGCATTTTTGCACACGCAATTCAAATGGTAGTGAAATCTTTAGTCAAATGGAGTCCCTTAAGAGAACAGGTGAGGAACCTTTGGGGCTTGGCTCTGCCCACAATGAAAGCAGGAGATCAATGGGGCTTGACAGCACCACACCCAAGCAGGGCTTGCTTGCACAGAACCCTCTGTGGTGCTTTAAAGTGGAAAATCTCCTTACACAGGTGGGGCAGCTGCGGGGAGGCTGGGGAAAGTGGCCATGCAGGCTAAAATTGAACATTCAGTTTGGCTGGAGGTTTCCCATCCCTGCTTAAGAGAATAGTAGTTGGTTTTAATTATTCTTATTCCGAATGGTTTAAATCATTCTTTTCGTAAGAAGCTTTGAGGTTGTTGTTGTTTACAATGAAACCTTATATAAATTCAAATAAATAGATAAAATGCCAAGTTTTCCAAGCCTTGATTTACAAATCAGCCTGATTCTGGGTTTTTTGTTTTTGCTTGACATTTCTGGTCACCCACCCCATTTTTATTTTTTATTTTGACAAAGTAATAATCATAAATAAGTAAGAATAAAAATGTGCACTCCACCACCAAGACCATTCCATTGCAACGATCCAACCTCCCAAAATTTCAACACCTCTTGCGAAGGTTTGACCCCTTTCCGTTGTAACAGTACAAATTCCTTCCATACCTCCTCAAAATCATTTCTCTTGTGTATTCCCTATCTTACCTTACGGAACAGAAATCACTGGGTTAAAGCTGACCGAAAGTCCAAAGGTAGCATTATTGTCAATTTACAACGGGGTGGAAGGTTTGCAAGCTATGAAGGACATGCTCACATATTTTATTGACAGCTGCATGAATCATGATAGCTAGGAAGTGGAAGGGGCAAGCAGAATATAAAATGGAAGAATGGTATAAAGGGGTGTGGGATATAGGCTATTAATGATAAATTAACATGAGCCTGATTCTGTTTTGGTAAATGACACGGAACATATTTTTTCAAAGACCGGCTCTTCAGAAATGTCTGGCATGTCTAAATTACAGTGGTACCTTGGGTTACATATGCTTCAGGTTACAGACACTTCAGGTTACAGACTCCGCTAACTATTTAGTTACCTATTTATCTACTTGCACTTTGACGTGCTTTCGAACCTAGGTAGGCAGGAGCAGGGACCGAGCAACAGGAGCTCACCCCGTCGCGGGGATTCGAACCTCCGACCTTCTGATCGGCAACTCCTAGGCTCTGTGGTTTAACCCACAGCGCCACTAGCGTCCCAATAAATATAATAGGCAATAATAATTGCTCATTATTTAAATTTCACCAGCAGGGACACAGTCCATTACATAGGAGCCAACTTCTGCGGCTGTGCTGAGTCATGTATTTGCTTATGTAGGGTGGAAGTGACCTGGGTCCCCCCCCGAATTTTTTATTCTAGTTGGCACCCCTGATCCTGTACTTGGCAACTGAGAAGTAAGCCTCGCTGAGTCCAGTGGGACTTACTCCCAGGTAAGGATTGCAGTGCAACGCGAATCAGGATGATATCTTTAAATCACCGAGGGCTGGTTTGAACCCAAGTCACCCCATTTCTAAAACTAGTCCCCTAGATACGGATCGCTGTACCGTAAACATGCAAAAAAGAGTTGAAAATGCAAAACTGGCCCTCGGGTTAGGACACAGCAGAATAAAATGGCCCCTGCCGGGGGGGGGGGCAGATAACAAAGTGTGTTTTGCATAGTGTACCGTGTTGCAATTTCCCATGTCATGTTATGGGAATTGATAAAGGAAGGAAGGAAAGTATGGCAGAGGTTGGGCAATTTTTCACTGCACCCACAGGCTATAAGAAAGGGGAAAAAGCTACATCTATTTAGCTATGGGTGTGGCTGGGCAGGACTTTGAATAGCTACAGAACCTGACCTGAAGACTAAAGAAGTCAGGTGCAGTGATCAGATTAGGTCTGTGGAGAGAGCTGGGCAGCTTTGAAGCAGTCACTGCCTCCCATGATAATCTGACTCATCAGCCAACTGAACTGTGTACAGGGTTCTACTCTGACCTCCCTGGAGGAGGAAAGGTATGGGACACACGGACACACACACACACATATACATATACATATGTGCGCACAACAAGAATAACAAAAAAATATATATGCCTCCATCCTTATTTCACAAGGAAAGTGTCTCTGAATGTTACCAGAACTGTCTCTCAGTAACCAAATTGGAGAAGTGGTTTTCACTTTTGTGCTTTCTAGGAACATTTTCAAAAAGGAACACTGGCTGTCGGAAACTGGATGGGGAGACTATGGGGAAATAGGGGGTGAGGGGTGCACCCCAACCTGGGAATTTCCTTCCTTCCTTCCTTAGCTTTCCATGACAAGCAAGAATTATCCAGGTGAGTCCCCCCCCTCCCCGCCCATTGCGTACAAATGCATGAAGAGAAAAGACTTCACCCGTGGGATTTCTGCTTGTCACACAGCAACCCCTTTCCAGGAGGAAAGTTTGCAACCTGAAGCGTGGCAGAGATGGGGGAGAGAGAGAGAGACAGTTCGCTATGCCGTGTATTTCTGGATCTATAAGGAAATGCGAGAAAGAGAAGTGGAGAAGACGATGCAAACTGGACATGACAGGAAACGCTGCCTGCCTAAGGCGTCGTCGGAGCCAGGATTTGCCCCCATCAAAGCCCTCCTTTCCGCGCCAGGACCCTGGAACTGTTCGGAAAGCAACAGCAACGAAAAGATAACCCGCAAGCATGTGCAGAGTTCATTATCTTCACACACAGCCAGCCCTCCGAGCAACACACATGGGTGTAGCCAGGATGTATGTCGGGGTGGTGGTGGACAGAACCGACGTATCTGAGAAGAGGTTGCTCAGATTGTTATATATTTTTATTTATCTACTTTTTTTGGAGGGGGAAGTTGCCCCCCTGCCCCCCTGCCCCCGACCACCCCCCATCCACCCCTGGGATTAAAAGTCAAAGCGATTTTGACAGAGGGCCTGATCCTGACGGAGAATTAACCCCTAACGCCGCCCGTTTTTAGGAGGAAAGAGGTCTGGAGCAAGAAAGCAGAGGGTGGTGGGAAAACGAGGCGGGCAATGACCTCCCAGGATGGCTCACCTAAGATCTCTTTCCTGCGCTGCGTGTGAGGCTGCTCCGTGTAAACCCACTCGAAATCCTCGCGGGTAACCCTGTTGCCCATCGCTGCCGCTGCCGCTGCACCTGCCTACTTGACGGCCAAGCGCGGGGGCCTTTATCTCCTCCGTCCACCTGAGGGGCGGGGCCAAGAGGTGGCTCCGCCCCCTTCGCCAACTCGCCTGCCTCGTTCGCCTCGTGGTGATGCGGGATAGAAGCGGCCGCGGACTGGAGCGCGCTCGCTGCGCGTCAGGCGCGCCACGAGGAGCCCCGGGGCCCGCGGAGGCTTATGCGCGGCAAGCGGATTTGGGAAGCCTTAAAAATAATAATAAAACAGGCTTTTTCACGATTTTCAGCTGGGAATGTGCTGTCAGAGGCGAGCTGGTATGGAATCTGCGGGCTTCCTGTAGCGCGCGCCTCCCTGAACGAGATCCAACCTTTATTGCAAGCTTGATGGAATTTGCGCACTGCGCGCGCATGGATGGGATTGATGGATTGATTTTCGGTTATATTTGTCCTGCTTTTAAGCTTTTGCTTTTTGCATCTCGGTTGTCTGCGGATCTGGGGAATGTGCAATGATGACGTTAGCTTTTGAGAAGCCCACCGGTGTGCATTGGTTAAAGGATCAGATGCTAAACGGGTGGGGGTGGGAGAGAATGTTGCAAGGAATCCTCTATTTGAAGTGTTTTGGGGCCTTGCGAAGGAAAAAGGTGGGGGAAGAACCAGATCTGCTGTGTTGTCTCGCCCATCTCTTCCCAGAAGTAACAAATAAATAAATAAATAAACAATGAAATTATTATTATTATTATTATTATTATTATTATTAATTATACCCCACCCATCTGGCTGGGTTTCCCAAGCCACTCTGGGCGGCTTTCAGCATATATAAAAACATTGTAAGAAATGCCAAAGCGTCATTTTGCTAGGCTTCTTCCATGATTTGAAAGCCATAAATGAAAAGAAACTTACATCAAGTAAAAAATGAATAAGGTAAGCTGAGTCTGGCATCACTTTTTATGTTCAGTTAGGAATATGTAGAGCCAGTTATGCAGTATAGAGACCTGATTATACAATGTGGTAGAATAAATGTGTATGCAATGCCTTTCCCCGTTACAGATGATAAAATGTCCCTGCAGGAATCTGGCAGCTGATAAGGTTTAAAGTTTTTGACCTTTTAGTAGACAAACCTGTTCACATTTTCCCAACAGACGAGCAGCTAAAGGACCACCAAAGGCACAAAGACTACCCCAAAATTATTTTAGATTTTAATTATTATATGTTAATTCATTATATTTATTTTTATATTTACATTTCTAAAATTTTGGAGTGCCACTAAATAAAAGAACCTCTGGCATGCATACCTAGGCATGATTTAAGTTAGTCCTCAACATGTATAAGAATCACTCAAGGAACATAAATTATCAGGACTAAAATGTTGTGACACACTTGCCTTCAGAGTCATGCTGGATTGCGACAGGTTGTTGAAGATAAAAGCAATCTTTTCCTAAACGTTTTCAGGGAATTCTTATGTTCACTGGGGCATACTCTCAGGTAAATGGGGCTAGTATTGCGATCTGTGCTGACTCTACCTGCCCTTGGTTCGTATTCTGCCTACCATAAGCTAACGTGTCCTTTGCCTTATGAGCCCCAGCTACCACAGGGAAGTATGGATGCAGCGTTTTCCTGTGGATCAAAGAATCACAGTAATGTATAGTTGGATGGTACCCCAATGGTCATCTAGTCCAGCCCCCCTTGCAATTCTGGAATCTCAACAGAAGCATCCATGATGGCCAGCCAACCTCTGCTTAAAGACCTCCAAGGAAGGAGAGTCCACAACCTCCTGAGGGAACCCGTTCCACTGTTGAATAGCTCTTACTGTCAGAAAGTTCTTCCTGAGGTTTAGTCGGAATCTCCTTTCATGTAACTTGAATCCATTGGTTTGGGTCCTACCCTCCAGAGCAGCAGAAAATAAGGTTGCTCCATCCTCCATGGGACAGCCCTTGAGATATTCCATATCTCCTCTGAGTCTCCTCTTTTCCAGGCTAAACATCCTCAAACTTAGTGATACTGCCATGTTTCACTGTCACAGTGCTGACACAGCACTTCACGTTTCATTTAGATCAAGGCTAGGGGCCCTCAGACCTGGGAGCCAACCGTGGCCTCCAGTCCTTGCCATCCGGCCCCCAGAACCATTCCCAGACCACACCCCCTTTCCCCAATCCATGTCCCTCACCAGCCATACTTCATACTCTCCTTGAATCATAGAATCATAGAGTTGGAAGAGACCACAAGGGCCATCGAGTCCAACCCCCTGCCAAGCAGGAAACACCATCAGAGCACTCCTGACATATGGTTGTCAAGCCTCTGCTTAAAGACCTCCAAAGAAGGAGACTCCACCACACTCCTTGGCAGCAAATTCCACTGTCAAACAGCTCTTACTGTCAGGAAGTTCTTCCTAATGTTTAGGTGGAATCTTCTTTCTTGTAGTTTGGATCCATTGCTCCGTGTCCGCTTCTCTGGAGCAGCAGAAAACAACCTTTCTCCCTCCTCTATGTGACATCCTTTTATATATTTGAACATGGCTATTATATCACCCCTTAACCTCCTCTTCTCCAGGCTAAACATGCCCAGCTCCCTTAGCCGTTCCTCATAAGGCATTGTTTCCAGGCCTTTGACCATTTTGGTTGCCCTCCTCTGGACACATTCCAGTTTGTCAGTGTCCTTCTTGAACTGTGGTGCCCAGAACTGGACACAGTACTCCAGGTGAGGTCTGACCAGAGCAGAATACAGTGGCACTATTACTTCCCTTGATCTAGATGCTATACTCCTATTGATGAGGGAGGGAGGGGCATCCCTCGCAGAGGATTTGAATGCCTTTTTTGCCTGTTTTGAAGTAACATCTGCAGCAACACCTGCTGAGGCTTTACCAACACCAACCCCACTCCCTGTGAAGGCTTTGCCATCATCACCACCATTACCATCATCAGTACAAAGGAATGCAGTAGTCTCTGTGGAAAAAGAAGAGATGAGGAAGGTGTTGAAGGGAATCAACCCAAGGAAGGCCACAGGGCCAGATGGGGTAGCTGGAAGGGTATTGAGAGACTGTGCAGATCAACTAGCAGGAGTTTTCACTGGGATTTTAAATCGATCCCTAGCCCAGGCTATTGTTCCATCCTGCCTAAAGTCCTCTATTATCGTTCCAATAGCAAAAAATCTAACCCGGAAGATCTGAATGATTTTCGTCCAGTAGCACTCACACCTATAATCATGAAGTGCTTTGAAAAGCTGGTACGAAATTATGTCATTGCCTGCCTACCAGAGGGACTGGACACATTCCAATTTGCTTATAAAATGAAAAGATCGACAGAGGACGCTGTGGCGATTGCCCTCCATGCCGTCCTTGCACATTTGGAGCAGCGGGGGGGCTATGCCAGACTGCTTTTTTTAGATTTCAGCTCGGCATTTAATACCATTCTACCACAACGTCTGGTGTCTAAACTGGAAGATCTGGGGCTTCCGTTATCACTTTGTGGGTGGATATTGGACTTTTTGTCAGACCGCCCCCAGAGGGTTCGGTTGGGCCCTTATACAGTGGTGCCCCGCAAGACGAACGCCTCGCAAGACGAAAAACTCGCAAGACGAAAGGTTTTTTCGTTTTCGAGTTGCTTCGCAAGACGAATTTCCCTATGGGCTTGCTTCGCAAGACGAAAACGTCTTGCAAGTTTGTTTCCTTTTTCGTAAAACTGTTAAAACCCAAGGTGCATTGCTTGAAGAGGTGCAGTTGCGACTTGACCTCGAGGAGCAACACATTGCACGCGGTGTGGTGGCCTTTCTGAGCTTTTTAAAGAGTTTGCTGGATTTTTGAAGCTTTTCCAAAACTTCTTTTGCAGCTGTTTGGTAAGTTAAACTTTTAAAACTTTTTTTGGGTTTTTTGGATTTTGGGTTGGGGTGTTTAGAATTCAAGGACTTGGTGTTGGGGAGGGGTTTGCAAGAATCTGGGAGTTTGTGTGGTTTTTTTCTGCATTTTTATGGTTTTCTGTGACCATTGGGCCATTTTTTTTTTTTTTTTAAATATCTGGGTTTTGAATTTTTGAATTTCTGTGTGCTGGGTGGCTGGGGGAACAGCTGGGGAGGGGTTTGCAGGAATCTGGGAGCTTGTGTAGTTTTTTTTTTTTTTGAATTTTTATGGTTTTCTGTGACCATTGGGCCATGTTGTTTTTTTTTGGAAAAAATTTCTGGGTTTTGAATTTCTGTGTGCTGGGTGGCTGGGGGAACAGCTGGGGAGGGGTTTGCAGGAATCTGGGAGCTTGTGTGGTTTTTTTTGAATTTTTATGGTTTTCTGTGACCATTGGGCCATGTTTTTTTTTTTGAAAAATTTTCTGGGTTTTGAATTTCTGTGTGCTGGGTGGCTGGGGGAACAGCTGGGGAGGGGTTTGCAGGAATCTGGGAGCTTGTGTGGTTTTTTTTTTTTGAATTTTTATGGTTTTCTGTGACCATTGGGCCATGTTGTTTTTTTTTGAAAAAAATTTCTGGGTTTTGAATTTCTGTGTGCTGGGTGGCTGGGGGAACAGCTGGGGAGGGGTTTGCAGGAATCTGGGAGCTTGTGGGGTTTTTTTTTGAATTTTTATGGTTTTCTGTGACCATTGGGCCATGTTTTTTTTTTTGAAAAATTTTCTGGGTTTTGAATTTCTGTGTGCTGGGTGGCTGGGGGAACAGCTGGGGAGGGGTTTGCAGGAATCTGGGAGCTTGTGTGGTTTTTTTTTTGAATTTTTATGGTTTTCTGTGACCATTGGGCCATGTTGTTTTTTTTTGAAAAAATTTTCTGGGTTTTGAATTTCTGTGTGCTGGGTGGCTGGGGGAACAGCTGGGGAGGGGTTTGCAGGAATCTGGGAGCTTGTGTGGTTTTTTTTTGAATTTTTATGGTTTTCTGTGACCATTGGGCCATGTTGTTTTTTTTGAAAAAAATTTCTGGGTTTTGAATTTCTGTGTGCTGGGTGGCTGGGGGAACAGCTGGGGAGGGGTTTGCAAGAATCTGGGAGCTTGTGTGGTTTTTTTTTGAATTTTTATGGTTTTCTGTGACCATTGGGCCATGTTTGTTTTTTTGTAAAAAATTTCTGGGTTTTGAATTTCTGTGTGCTGGGTGGCTGGGGGAACAGTTGAGGAGGGGTTTGCAACAGTTGGGGAGGGGTTTGCAACAGTTGGGGAGGGGCTGGGGAACAGTTGAGGTTTTTGAAGACTTTGGTGATTTTTAAAGCTTTCCCAAAACTTCTTTTGCAGCCATTTGAGGATTTTGAAGACTTTGGTGATTTGCAGCCATTTCGTAAGTTAAACTTTTAAAACTTTTTTGGGGGTTTTTGGATTTTGGGTTGGGTGTTTGGAATTCAAGGACTTGGTTCTGGGTTTGAATTGCTGATTTTTTTTTTCTTTTTCTGAGTTTACAAACAGGTAACAGCTGTGCTGCCATGGGACCCAAGAAGACTGCTGCTGCTGCGGAGGCCGGCGAGAGGAAGAAGGAGAAGGTGACGCTGGAGATGAAGAAGGAGATCATCCGGAAGCACGACGGTGGAATGCGTGTGATGGACCTCGCCAGGGAGTACGGCAGGAACCCATCGACCATCGGGACCATCCTGAAGATGAGGGAGAAGATCCTTGCGACTGATGCAGCCAAGGAGTCACCAGGATCGTGAAGAACCGCCCAGCTGTTCTGGAGGAGGTCGAGAAGTTGCTGCTCATCTGGTTAGAAGAGAAGCAGCGTGCAGGGGACACAGTGACTGAGGCCGTCATTTGTGAGAAGGCCAAGGCCTTGCACGCAGACCTCATCCGGGAACAGCCAGGAACCTCGGCCGAGCCAGAAGTCTTCAAGGCAAGCAGAGGCTGGTTTGACCGGTTCAAGACGAGATCTGGAATCCACAGCGTGGTCAGGCATGGAGAGGCTGCCAGTTCTGATGTTCCTGCGGCTGAAGACTTTGCCTTGGAGTTCCTGGAGGTTGTGAAGACGGAGGGCTACGTTCCACAGCAGGTCTTCAACTGCGACGAGACCGGGCTGTTTTGGAAGAGGATGCCCAAAAGGACTTTCCTCACACAGGAGGAGGCCAAGTTGCCTGGCCACAAGCCCATGAAGGACCGTCTGACCCTGCTCTTCTGTGCCAACGCAAGCGGCGACCTGAAGATCAAGCCCCTGCTGATGTACCACTCGGAGAACCCACGGGCCTTCAAGAAACACAAGGTCGACAAGGAGCGGCTGAGTGTCATGTGGCGATCCAACAGCAAGGCTTGGGTCACACGTGTGCTGTTTGTGGACTAGGTCAATCTTGCTTTTGGCCCTGCTGTCAAACAGTACCTGCTGGACAACGACCTGCCGCTGAAGGCTTTGCTTCTGATGGACAATGCTCCTGCTCATCCTAAAGGCCTTGAGGTGGACTTGTTGGAGGAGTTCAGCTTCATCAACATCATGTTCCTGCCGCCTAACACCACGCCACTGCTCCAGCCGATGGATCAGCAGGTCATCGCCAATTTCAAGAAACTCTACACCAAGGAGGTTTTCAGGCGATGCTTCGAGGTGACTGATTGCACCACCATCACCCTGCGGGAATTCTGGAAGGACCACTTCGACACCGTCACCTGCTTGAAGATGATCACCACGGCCTGGAACGGGATCAGCCAGAGAAATTTGAATTGCACTTGGCGCAGCCTGTGGCCGGACTGTGTGGCACCAAGTGACTCTGATGCACCAGAGTCAACAGTGGTGCAGGACATTGTTGCCTTGGGGAGGACCATGGGCCTGGAGGTCACAGAGGAGGACGTCAGCGAGCTGGTGGAGGAGCACGACCACGAGCTGACCACCCAGGAGCTGGTTGAACTGCAGTCAGAGGTTGCGCAGGAGCAGGCCTCGCTGGAAGAGGAGGAAGCAACTGAGGAACGGCCGTCCTCCAAAGAACTGAGGGACATTTGCCAGAAGTGGAAGGAGGTGCAGGCTTTTGCAGAGCGGCACCACCCTATCAAGCACGTGGCACATGACCAAGCGAACACTTTTGATACGACGGTCATGTTGCCTCTCAGGGAGCTGCTGAAAAGGCGGATGAAGCAGCAGACCATGGACAGGTTCCTCAGCAAGAAGCAAAGAGTGGAAGAGGAACCTTCTTCGAGTGGTCCCCCCAGAGTCTTAGAAAATGTAATGTACCCTTTTTTGATTTTTAAATGTTTTTCCTGTCATGTTTAGAAACTTAATTTATTGTTCCTTCAATTTTTGATATGCTCTTTAAAGTATGTGTGACTTTAAAGAGCAGTTAATAAACTATTGTTGTACCAAATTTGGCTTTGATTGGACTTTTTTTGACCATAGGAACGCATTAATTGAATTTCAATGCATTCCTATGGGAAACCGTGCTTCGCAAGACGAAAAATTCGCTAGACAAAAAAACTCGCGGAACGAATTAATTTCGTCTTGCGAGGCACCACTGTACCTCTAATATGCTCAAGACTAACACAGGAACACCACAGGGATGCGTACTCAGTCCGTTCCTTTATATTCTCTACACGTACGATTGTGTCGCTACTCACCCTAGTAATAGGGTTGTCAAATTTGCAGATGACACAACCGTGATTGGGCTCATCCCTGAAAGGGAGGGTGAAACGGATTATAGAGATGAGGTGGAGTGGCTGACAGAGTGGTGCAGAGCTAACAACTTGCTCATAAATACAAGGAAGACAAAGGAGCTTGTGGTGGACTTCAGGAGACAGAAGAGCAACGTCCAGCCACTTTTGATTGATGGGGTCTGTGTGGAGAGGGTAACAACGTTCAGATTTTTGGGCATTGAATTACAAGAGGATCTGTCCTGGAGTGTTAACACAAGGGGGCTTGTGAAGAAGGCGCAGCAGAGACTGTACTTTTTGAGAATACTAAGGAAAAACCATCTTCCGCAGAAACTGCTGCTTGCCTTCTATCACTGTGCCATTGAGAGCGTGCTCACTTATGGCTTATGTGTGTGGTACGGAAGCTGTACTACCCAGGACAGGATGGGGTTGTGCAGGGTTGTTAAGGCAGCAGAGAGCATTGTTGGCTGCCCACTCTCTACCTTAGAGCAGATTTATGCCACAAGGTGCCATAGGAAGGCACTGGACATAGTAAAAGATCCATCGCATCCTGGTCACTGTCTCTTCGAGCTCTTGCCGTCGGGATGGAGATACAGGACGATGAAGACAAGAACGAGCCGTCTTAAGAACAGCTTCTTCTCCAGAGCGATCTCGGCCCTGAATGGGAAGCCCGGACTTTGAAAGTCATCTAATCTCCCTTGCTGTATTATACTGTATTGATTAATTAGTGTTTTTATGGATCAGTCAAGTAATTTCGTTGTCCCCGAAGGGGGCAATGACAATAAAGATATTATTATTATTATTATTATTATGAGGCCCAGAATTGCACTGGCTTTTTTAGCTGCCACGTCACACTGTTGGCTCATGTCAAGTTTGTGGTCAACCAAGACTCCTAGATCCTTTTCACATGTACTGCTCTCAAGCCAGGTGTCCCCCATCTTGTATTTGTGCCTCTCATTTTTTTGCCCAAGTGCAATACTTTACATTTCTCCCTGTTAAAATTCATCTTGTTTGTTTTGGCCCAGTTCTCTAATCTGTCAAGGTCATTTTGAAGTGTGATCCTGTCCTCTGGGGTGTTAGCCACCCCTCCCAGTTTGGTGTCATCTGCAAATTTGATCAGGATGCCCTTGAGTCCATCATCCAAGTCGTTGATAAAGATGTTGAATAAGACCGGGCCCAAGACAGAACCCTGTGGCACCCCACTAGTCATTCTTCTCCAGGATGAAGAGGAAGGAAGGTCCTTGCCTGTCTGGAATGTGTCCTTGGACTCTTGCTTGTCCACATGGCAGATAGAGTGTCTGTAGAAAGGGAGAGGGTGTTCTGTATAAAGGGAAACTTTGCATCAATTGCTTCACTCACATGGGCCTCAGGCCCCACCCACCCTTGGGCTGCAGAAGATTCCCTTCCCCTGATTCAGATGTTAAAAAGTGTATTGAAACTGAACCTTGAGGCAGCTGATAGGTTCATTCATTCACAGGAGCCAAACACTGATCTTCAGCACCAACTTCTTTGCGGAAGGGACCAGACGCATGGGTAGGCAAACTAAGTCCCGGGGGCTGAATCCGGACCAATTGCTTTTTAAATCCAGCCCGCGGACAGTCCAGGAATCAGCGTGTTTTTACATGAGTAGAATGTGTGCTTTTATTTAAAACACATCTCTGGGTTATTTGTGGGGCCTGCCTGGTGTTTCTTACATGAGTGGAATGTGTGCTTTTACAATGGTACCTCGGGTTAAGTACTTAATTCGTTCCAGAGGTCTGTACTTAACCTGAATGTTCTTAACCTGAAGCACCACTTTAGCTAATGGGGCCTCCTGCTGCTGCCGCGCCGCCGGAGCACAATTTCTGTTCTCATCCTGAAGCAAAGTTCTTAACCTGAAGCAATATTTCTGGGTTAACGAAGTCTGTAACCTGAAGCGTATGTAACCCGAGGTACCACTGTATTAAAAACACATCTCTGGGTTATTTGTGGGGCATAGGAATTTGTTCACCCCCCCCCCAAAAAAAATATAGTTTGGCCCTCCACAAGGTCTGAGGGACAGTGGACTGGCCCCCTGCTGAAAAAGTTTGCTGACCCCTAGACCAGTGGATGTCCAGGTGGGTGCTACTCTGTCATAACTCTTGAGAAAAGGGGGTGGGGGTGGGGATCCTGCAGACCTCTTGAAGTTGTTGGACTCCAACTCCCATAAGCCTCAGTGGCACAGGATGGGGGGTGTCTCGCAGTATCTAAAGGGCCTCCTGTTGGCTGCCCCTGCTCTGAAAATATAACCATGGTTGGTTATATTGTAGGGTTGCCATATGTTTGGAATTTCCCAGACATAGCTGGGATTTGGCCATCGCAAAAAGTGGAATTCGCAGAAATGTCTGGGAAAAGCTCAACAACTTTTGTGTTGGGATTTTCACTTTTTCAAATACGGCAACCCTACCTTGTTGAAATAAATGCAATTCAGCAGAATCTGTAGGAGGAAACGTAATTCCATTTCATTTTCAATTTGCTGAACCGCTTGGCTTTGACCTCTGATTATGAATTAACAACATTCCCAAAGAAAATGTATGATTTCAAGATTATATGGGTAAGAGCGCCCACTACAGCAGCCATGGATTACAACAGAAGGCTATACAACACAGACATTTCCTACGCTTTTGCATATACACAGTCAGAAGTACAGGATACAATTCCAAGGAAGGCTTTAGTCTTTTTGGATCTATCATTCCCTGAAATCTAAGAGCAGCACTAGCAGTGAAGAAAAAAATATATGAAAGGGAATTGGCCAATATA